CAGGAATTTTAATCTACCCATTTGATGGATGGATTTGATCCAGGCCTCAAACTATGGCTGACTATGTGGGAGTCCAGCAAAATAACCATTATGCCACCTGCTGGTCCCCCTGCAAAGAAATTTAAGCTTGTTTATTCCTTTCATAAGACACAGAAAAAGAAGAGAGTGAAAAGCATCCTGAATAGGGCCTCACACTGCAATCTTCCCCCAGGTCCTACCCCAGCCAGCCAGGATCACCAGTGCACAAGTACTCGCCCAGCATGCCAACTTGGGAACCAAACCCCGATCTTCCATAGGGCTTCCAGCGTCACAGAGCACTGCCATCACCATAAGTGAACCTAAAGCATGCTAAATTTTAAAAAAACACCTGAATTTTTTGTACCTAAAAAGTCATGACTAGAAATGTAAAACAAGCAAATAAAACAAGAGTAAAGTGCAAAGTTTTAACAATGTGACAAAAGTGAGAAATAATGGAAATGTATGACAAAAAGCTCAAAATCAGGAAACAAACACTCTTTGTTCAAAAAGAAGACAGATTAATCTGAAACAAAAGTGGAGAGTATCAACCAACAAGCTTTTTTTTCAATGACCACCTATTAGGTTGAAATGACTAGCCACATACCCGACCCCAAGGTTGGCATGGAAAAATAAACCTCCTGGGGCCAGCAGGTGGCGTGGTAGCTAATGTGCTGCACTTTTACATGGTCGATTGCAGTTTGAGTCCTGGACGTGGTGGTCTGAAACTCATGCCAGGTGTGTGTGCATGCATATTCTCCCGAGAGGAAAATGGAGGAGAAAGGATTGCGGCAAGGCCATCCTCCCTGGGAGGTGATTTCTCATTCTCTGTTTTTCTGGTGCGCATACACGCCCTACAGCAAAACAAACAAACAAACAAACAAACAAAAACCACAAAAACCAAAAAAATACCAAAAAAACCCACCTCTCTTAAAAAAAAATCATGAACTTCTTTAGCCCTTGAGAAGGCTACAGGGAAGTGTCAGCTTCAGAAAAGAGGAGGCTCTAGACTAAGCTCTAAGGAAAAAAAATGGAAGAAGTAGGGAAAATCTGTTTAAATGGATTATTCCAAAGGAAAGGAACAGAAGAAAGGTTTGGGAGGGAAGGTACCTGGGGGGGGAGGGGGAGCCAAAAATAAGGCAATAACTGTGAGGAGGGGAGACAGCTAGGTGGGTTTTCCCTTTCATGCAGTAAAACTAAGTTTTTAAGGATGAGAACCAAAATAAGTAACAATTCACATTCACTGTTTGTATCAGAATTAGTTAAAGGTATCAGTATCTCAAAGGGGTTTTGAGATTTACTTTGCTTCACATATAATAGTAGGACAAAACTGGATGAGGAAATGTCCAATTTTCCCTGAGACCAAAGTATAGAGAGGCCTGTTCTAAAGTTAGAGGAAAGTAAGATTTGTTAAATTAGGACTACAGTTAAAAATTTAACAATAGTTATCTTTCACCTTTTTGCAGTCCCCAAACATAAAAGGCTCCAACTTTACTGTTCTGTTTTCTAAAGAATATTTTTGTGAGTTTAAATCTATTACAGTATCAGTCCACAGTATGGTGGTGAAGGCAGCTGCACAGGGCCAAATGCATGGTCCAAGTCCCAAACCAAGTGCCTTTAGAGATCCACTGAACACCAGTAAGCACATTTGCCTTCTGACAAATTAAAAAAATAACTCTTCCAGCTGACAACTACTCAAGAGTTTATAAAGTTAATACTGAGTTAATGCCTAAAGACTTGAAGAAGAAGGGCAAACACAGAAAGTGTTGTTGAATAACTGTTTATTGGTGCCAGTAGTCAGAATATTAAAGTCAAGCTGTTCCTTAGCTAGCAATCCGCTAAATATCAAACTACTGAAGACTACTGTCATAATAATAAAACAGTAGTCAACAGACAATTCAACACAAATAATTGTGCCTCTTAACACTTACTACACCGTGTTTATAAAAATACCTATTGACAACTAAAGGTAGTACTTTAGATGTAGTATGTAGCCAAGATACAGCTTAAGTTAGATTTGAGTCTCTGCTCTGCCAATACAACTAGGTTCAACTTATCCCATTCTGATTGAAAAAAATAGAGGTTAAGTAAACTTTCTGCTTGATACCCAAACTGTTGTGTGTGGATGAGTGGCAAACAAGAGCAGAACTTTCAATGGAAAGCTTAAAAAAGTGAAATCAAGATCCTAAAGCATTTCTTCCAACTATAATCAAAGCTTTACCAGCAAGATACTGAAGACAAAATACAATCAAAGGAATAGATACCAAGGAGTTACAGTGGTACAGTCAAGAAAAAGTGGATCAGTTGAGAGCTTTCTAGCTTTCCCTCTGTCTCTCTCTGGTCAAATTAGAATAATAATGCAAATTATGGTAACAAATGGGATTAAATAATGCTTTTTAAAAAAGTGTTCTAAACTGGAATTTATGTTGAGAAATACAAGTTTATATTTTTATTTTTAATTCAATTTTTCCACTGACATTATGAAGTCCCCATATCTAATTGACCACCTTGGTGAGTTTTCTGTCCTATTTTTTTGTCTAGAAAACCATCCATGACTAGTTTATTTTGAGGAATAAGTACAAAAGAAGTTAATATATGCAAAGTAGAGAACTCAGCACAAATTCCAACAAGAAATACCAGACTAAGAGCCCTGAATCATCTAGACAGCTGTCTTGAGAAATTTAACCCCTCTAATTCACTGTTGTGATCTAACATCCCCACACAAACAGAACATAAGCTTGCCCTTCCAAAAATCCTAGCCTTCATTATCAACCGGTTATCTTACTACCTCAAGGTTTATGTACAAATACATGCCTTGGCCTCCAACCTTACCATCTGAAAGCAATTCTGTAACTTGAATTTTTTTTTTTTTTTGTGATTAAGAATGGTGATGACTTTAGTACTAAAACATGCTTCCCTAAGAGTATGGATTAAAAGTTAAATACTTTTTGTCAATAATTTATGTAAACAGATCTTAGTAATCTTGTTAATAATATAATGATGATTTTAAGCCATTTACAGCTTACTTTCTTGTTCTCATTTTTATTTTATTTATCCTTATTGTTAGTTTGCTATAGGGTACGTGTGCTCCCCAGAAAGAGACAAGAGATGGTAATTGAGAGAGCAAGGGAAAATGAGAACTCACCCCCCACCTGCTGCAAAAGGATGGTCACAGTATAATTCCTTTTCTTTCATTCTCCTCTTAGGACTTTGGGCATACATACATGTGATTTTTAAGCTACTTGGTCCAGATTTGAATCTCACAGCCAGCCATGTGGGATCTAGTTTCCTTAACCCCCACATAACCTGGTAGCCCTTTTTTAAAAGAATTTTAAATCACATTTTACTCACAGGGATAACAGAATTTATAGAAGGCCAACAACCATGTTATATTACACCCAGAAACATACATTACTATTAAACCCTGGGTGGTAAGCAAATAAGTAGTGATAACTTAAACTTTTTTTGTATTCTGTCTCTGGCAAGTGCACGCACACTATAGCAAAAATCTCTCCAAGAAAAACAAGCAATTTGTATATGGTTTTTTCCTTTCCTACACAACTTCACATATTCTATAATTATCTGCCACTTTATTACAGAATTTAAGACTAATAGGACAAGTGATTAAGAACAAAAGATAAAATAAAAAAAAAAGAACATCAAGTGGTCTAATAATTAACAGCTCAAGAGAAGACAAACATCCTTCAGAAAAGCTGGCTAAAAAAAGTTATATTAAAGAAGTCCTCTAAGAAGAATTATTTCCACATACAACAAAATAAGAAGAAGGTATTAAGAATGTTTGTTTCAAGCTTTCCTGGAAACCACCTTTTCTGCCCTATATAGGGTAAGGGTAAATATATAAGAACCTGGAAGAAAGCTTTGAAGTGAGCATCCTCTTGAATGGTAGTGTTCTGATCACTTGGGAGGAGAGGGAACAGGCTCTGAAGTCTCACCCTTTCACAAATCACCTTGTTAGGATGGCCAGGTAGAGGTGCTGAATTGGCCCCGGGAGATATCTGGGAAAAAGAGGGAGAAGAAAAGGATAGTTCATGGCTAGCTGCAGCAATATGGAGAATCAGCCTATGAAGGATAGTATGGATTTTTTTAGGTATCTGATTATTCTGTTAGCAGAGACTGGAAAGAAATTAAAAATTAATTGTAAACATCAAAATGTAAAGATGACGAAAGCTGCCTCCAGCAATGGATCTCTCTTACAAAACCTTCTTGAGGTAAAATAGCACAGCTCAAGAACCTTCAAGTCCTTCCTGTTTCTACTGATACTTTTCTGTTGGTGTTAATTCTGAAATCCAAAAGGACAAGCTTCCTGTTAAGAAAACTGCAGGTAAAAATCATATATGTTAAATACAGAAAGATGAATATTTGCCTGTACTAAGATTATATAACCTTCCAAAAGATCACACAGAGGAAGATGACAGATTTGACAATATTTGTGGAAAACTTCTACATCTATCATACGTGTGACTGTATAGCATACAGACATACAACAATCATATGTCTGTGGAGCTCTTAGCTCTATTCGACACCTAAGGAATAAATGACAAGATCTCAGAAGCCCAAAAGTAAATGACTGCATGTTTTAAATGCTTGATTTGATTGTGAGTAATCACTTTAATTATATATAAATATACTGTAGCATTTTAAAAATCATGAACATTACCTGTCCCACTGTGTTGTAACTGTAAAATCTCTTTGTGGATTAAAGTTTGTGGACCTGATTATCTCTACATTAAAAATAATGTGCTTGTACACTATCTTGTTTTTGGTTTTAATGCCTTATAAATTTACTCAATCTTACAAATTAAGTATCTTTCTGGTGGTAAGTACTAAACCAAAAAGAAAGGCATGTTTTCCTACCTTCCAAGAGTGAGTGATAGGGCCAGACAGTGGAAAAGCAGTAACTTAAATTGGTCCGTGTGGGAAGATCCTGGACCCAAAGGCTTCCCTACAGATGCCAGACAGGTACTCATGTGACTGTGATCAAGCTGGCTGAGTTTAGGGGTGGACTACACAGGAAGGCCCTGCTGGGAGCAGTCTTTACTGTCTTACGAAAAAACACATAAGGAAGTAGTCAAAGTGGAAGGCAGATACAGCTCATGAAGTTAGCCACTAATTATATTAATACTTCTACTGTAATAGCATTTTTAAGCTCCTTTATAGTATTTTGCTTCTGGTTTGCTTTGAGCCTAGTAAACTGGTAACCACGCCTGTTGGTAGAAGTAAAAATACTTCCAAAGACTCAGCTAGTAGTAAAAGCAAAACTTGAGGGCAGCAATTTTAGAATTCACAAGTTTGCTATATAAAATGTTGTGAACATAAAACACCACCTCTGTACTACAAATATGAATGTGCTAATATCCTTTACTACCATGAACAAGTATGTGTTGATGAATCAAGGGATATTTACTGAATGCCTCCTACAAGCCACCAAGAGTTACACTGGACGAGATAAAGATAAAACATGGATTCCCCCCATCCCAAAGAAGCTTACAAAGCAAAACCAAAAAACACAGATGCAAGTAAGCAGCAAATTACAGTATACTACTTAAATACTATAAAACGGGCAAAAATTCAAACAGCAGTAGGAGCCATGATGTTACTGAGGTTAGGAGTAAGAAATACTGGGGCCACCAGGTGGCATGGTGTTTAAGGGCACTGGACTCCCATGTGGCTGACCGCAATTTGAGTCCCGGACCTGGTGGCTTGTTTTTTTGCTTCCCTGCCACCCCTACTCTGTCCCTCCCTCCTCGCATTAAAATAAAGCTAAATAAATTATTTTTTTAAAAAGTAAAAAAATTTCGTGGAAAAGTTTATTTCCTATTACAAATTCCTCACTCAATCTAAGGGGTGCCTTTACCACTTTAAAGCAAACTTACATATCCTCGTCTACTCACACTAGTTTGATTTGGTCATAAGCTTCACTGGATTATACAATGGGAGGAAAGCTATATTCTTTTTTTTTTTTTTTTTTTGAAGGGTTTTTGCTATAGGGCTTATGCCCCACAGGAGAGAGAAATAGAAAGACAGAAAGTGAGAAATCGCCCCTGGGGGGATGGCCACACTGCAATCCCTTCTCCTCCATTCTCCTCTCAGGATCTTGGGCACACATGTGCACTGGCCCGGCGTCAGTTTAGGCCACTGAGTCCGGGGCTCAAATTGCAGTCAACTACATGGGAGTCCAGTGACTTAGCCATTACGCCAACTGCTGGTCCCAAGGAAAGCTATATTCAAATTTTGTAGTTAAAATAAGTGTGGGACAAAATGGTAAGATAGGCTTAATCAATACCAGGTGCTCCCACTGTATAAGATAAAATCAGACTGTAAATATAACTATTTTCACTTCTATGATTAAATTAAATCATATGACAAAGGGCCAGAGATTTTCAGTTGTCATGGAGAGGTAAGACATTTGTGGGACACAGATATGGTTTATTATTTGTTCGTGAGGACATGTATAGTATTTTCAACTGGGATGGACTGAGGTATATATCATGCTGGGAAACGTTTCTTTACAATCTAAATGCTATATAGTGATTAAATGTATAAATAATTTAAATAAATTTTTAAAAACCAAGTCAATTGGGAACCAGCAGTTAGCGTAATGGCTATATCGCTGGACTCCCACGGAGTCAACCGCGGTTCGCGTCCGGACCTGGTGGCTTAAAATGCACGCCGGGCGCGTGTGCGTGCATGCCCAAGATCCCGAGAGGAGAATGGAGGAGAAGGGATTGTGGTGTGGCCATATCCCCTGGGGGTGATTTCTCGCTTTCTGTCTCTATGACTCTCTCTCTGTCTGGCGAGTGCACGCGCCCCATGGAGAAAACCTTTAAAAAAAAAAAAAAAAAAAAGACAATTAATTTTATGCTAATCAAGAAGGAAATTATCCTAGGTGGGTCTGACTTAAACAGAGGAAGCTCTTAAAACAAGAATGGAACACTTCCTAAGAGAGATTCTCCTGCCAACTCTCAGATTAAGCTAGAGCTTGAGAAAGCAATATTATAGGAACAATGTGAGAGGAAAGAGGGCAGTCTCTGGGGGCTAAGAGGAGTCACCAGTTGATAGCAAGAAATTGGGGAACCTCAGTCCTACAACCGCAAGAACTATATTCTACCAACTACCAGTGAGACTGGAAGAGGTGGCACCAAAGTCTCTGAAGAAATCATAGTTACAGCCAAGGTAAAAATCCTGAGCAGACCGCCCAGCAGCTAACCCATACCAGGACTCTTGATACATAAAAACTGTGGTTAAATAGACTTGTTTTAAGCAAATACATTTGTGGTAATTTGTTACACATAACAAAAAACTAACACCACATATATAACTAAATAGAGTAAAACTTACTGTACTATAGCTGAAGAAAATTTCTTCTCTAGAATTATGGCTGTATCAATTTGATTAGAAAAGATATAAAGATGGGAACCAGCAGTCACTGTAATGGCTATGTCGCTGGACTCCCACGTAGCTGACCGCAGTTCATGTCCCGGACCCGGTGGCTTAAAACTCACGCCAGGCGTGTGTGCGTGCGTGCCCAAGATCCCGAGAGGAGAATGGAGGAGAAGGGATTGCGGCATGACCATTCCCCCTGGGGGGTGATTTCTCGCTTTCTGTCTCTATGTCTCTCTCTGTCTGTCTGGCGAGCGCACGCGCCCTACAGTGAAAATCTCTCCAAAAAAAAAAAAAAAAAAAAAAAAACTGCATGTCAAGTTTATCTGACTTAAAGCCATATACTTCAGAAATACCAAAACCATAATTTGAACCCAAATCTATCAAACTTTAAGGTTCATACTCAACCCATCAAGACCACCTTATATTTTAAAGCCATTTTAAGTCTTTATTAATAAAGTCATTTCTTCATAAACTGTTATAGACATAACTTTTCACTAATTCCCCCTCAGTTATAACTAAAGGTTGGGCCAGTTAGGTGGTATGGTAGTTGGGGTGGCTGGATCCCACATGGCCAATTGTGCAGTTCGAAGTCTCAGACCTAGCAGCTTGAAAAACATGCTGGGCACATGCATGTGCCCAAAATCTTGAGAGGAAAATGGAGGAGAGGGGATTGTGGCATGGTTCTCTCCCCTGGGGGACGCTTTCTCACTCTCTGCCCTCTCTTTCACTCTCCAATGAGCATAAGAGCGTATAACAAAGTTTTAAAAAATGTATAGCGTACCTCAAGTTGCAGATTTCATAACTTAAGCCTTCTCCAAAGATACAATCTGTTTGTACTGCACAAAGTTCTGCTGGGCCAGCCAGGTGGTATGGTGGTTAAGAAAGCTGGATCCCACAAGGTCAACCGTACTGTTCACATGCCTGACCCAGCAGCTTGAAAAGCATGCCAGGTGCATCAGGTGCATATACAGGTGTGTGGGAGTACGTTCTCACTTTCCCTCTCTGTCTCTGGTGAGCACATGCATCCTAAAGCAAATTAAAAAAAAAAAATTATTAAAATTCTACCAAGGAAACATCTCTATTCCTGAGATAGGATTAAATCTGCAACTTTCAGAACTTCTGATTTTAATGTTTACTTATGTGTGGGGACTTCAAAAAGTTCATGGAAAAATGAAGTAGAGTTTATTTTGGTGCAAAAAATAATTGAAATTCATGCAGTTTTCTCACAGTACACACTTTCCATGAACTTTTTAAAAATCCCCCACCCATAGAACTCATGATTAACCTAGCATAAATAGAAAAGCATTGTCTCACAGGAGTGCTATTCACTCTTTAAAGCACTATTTTAGCACATCTCTTGTTTAATGTGACCTTTCCTTGTTTTGGCAATCATAACATAACCGACAATTTAACCATTTTCTTGCAGAGTGCTGCCATTATTATTGTGTTAAAAATAAAACAGGATTTAGGATGAGACATTGTCTAGAATTTGTTTCTTCTAAAATTGTTTCTGATGAAAGCTTTCCTCTTCATTCATTTCTATTGTTCTCATAAAGATGAGGTAGATGTGTTGGTGCATAAACTCTAGGCCAGTATTAAATAATGTACTTTCTATAAAGTACTGGGTTCTCGGGAAAGTTATGATGCATTTTCGCATAGAAAAACATAGGAAAATATGTCATGACTTTTCTGACGACCTAGCTTCTCAAATGCCTAAACAGCTTTCTCTAGGATGACTGTATTACTCACCAGAAATTGTTCACTGTTACCAACTGGTCAAAAGCAGTCTTATCCTTATATATAACCTAATATAAAAGGGGAAACCAAAATACTATGTGAAAAGTCAAGTGTTCTGTGTAGCTTCTACTAAATCCTAACTCCTCTAGGATCAAATCTGGGCACCTCTAAAATGTAGAAGTCAAATACAAACAACCTAAAATCCAAATACTCTAACTGCTTCCATGATGGTAAATGTTCCTCTCTTTGAAGTAACTAAGGGAACCAGTAGATGGCATAATGGTTACAACCCCGGACTGCTATGTAACCAACTGAGGTTCAAGTCCTGGACCCGGTGGCTTTAAACTCATGCTGACATGTGTGTGTGTGCACGTACCCCAAATCCCAAAGGAGAATGGAAGAGGAGACTGTAGCATGGACATTCCCCTAGGAGGTGATTTCCTGCCTTCTGTGTTTCTGTCTCTCTGGCAAGTGTATGCGCCCTATAGCAAAAATCTCTCTCTCAAAAAAAAATAACTAGGTAGATTTTATTGGCACTTTTAAAAACATACCTATCAAAGGCTAGTAGGTGGCACAGTGGTTAAGATGCTGGAATTCCCACATGGCCGACTGTGGTTCAGGTCCCGGACCCTGGCTAGCTTTCTCACTCTCCCTTTCTTTCTCTGCAGAACTCATGTGAAAGTAAATAAATAAATAAATAAAATAAAATAATTCTTAAAAAAAAAAAAAATCTATCACTTGCATCAATAATCTTCAACTTGGGGACCAGCAGTTGGCATAATGGCTATGTTGCTGGACTCCCATGTAGTCAACCGTGGTTCAAGTCCCGGACCTGGTGGCTTAAACTCATGCTGGGAACATGTGCGTGCGTGCCCAAGATCCTGAGAGGAGAATGGAGAAGGGACTGCAGTGTGGCCATCCCCCCTGGAGGTGATTTCTCGCTTTCTATCTTTCTGGCCAGCGCACGCACCCTATAGCAAAAACCTCTCAAAAACAAACAAACCCTAAAAACTTCAACTTGACAAATTCTGAACTCATACTTCAAAATATGGCAAAAGTCATATGTTCACCATAGCACAGTAACAGCAACAATTTGAAAGGGAACTAAAAGTAAACTTAAAGACACATATGCAAGCCAGACAGAAGATGAGGTGGTTAAGGTGGCTAGATCCCACCTAGCTGACCATGTGGTTGAGTGTGCACATGCATGCTTGCCCAAAATCCTGAGAGAATGGAGGAAAGGGTGTGGCTATCCTCCCTGGGAGATGTTTTCTTTGTCTCTCTCCAGTGAGCACATCCTACAGCAAATAAAATAATAAATACACACATATGCTATAGGGTGCGGAAGACAAAACTAGTTAAGTGTTTGATTAAAACTTGGAATACACGGGACCAGCAGGTGGTGTGGTGGTTAAGGTGCTGGACACTCCTACATGGCCGACCACGGTTCAAGTCCTAGACCTGGTGGCTTGCTTTCCCACTTTCTCTCTCTCTCTCTCTCTCTGTCTCACTCTGGTCAAAAGAAATGAATGAATAAATTTTTGTATCTTTTTTTAAATTATTAAAAAAAAAAAAACTGGGAATACATGGACCTCATCTATTGGGAAAAGAACCAATTTACTCACCTGAAATCATAGGTCAATGGAGTCAATGGTTGGTCACTAAGTACACCCCATTCTAGTGAGGTAGAATAAGCAACTGAAACATTGATATGTGTTGGTATTTCTCCTTACCCCTCAATTCAAACAATAAATCTAGACATAAATGCTAACTTGCCTTTGAGGAGAACTATATCACTGAGCCCAAGATAAGTCTGTTTCTTTGCCTTTGGTTTCCTGGAAGCAAAAGTATCTGAGAGGATTTTGCTGGGTGGAGCAGGAAAGAGGACCTACCTTCTGGGAACCAGGAATGTGATGGTGTCTTCTTGCCATTTAAAGGGTAGGTCTTTATGGGCACAGGGATCTTTTTTGAGATGATAGAAATGTTCTCATAATGGGCTATGGGGATAGCAGTCAAGAAAGCCAGATCTTGAGACCAGCAGATGGCGTAATGGTTGTATCACTGGACTCCCACATGGCCAACTGCAGTTCAAGTCCCAGGTTAGAAGCCTGAAAAACATGACAGGCATGTGTGCGTGGCTGCCCAAAATCCCAAGAGGAAAAATGAAAATCCCAAGAGGAAAAATGAAGGAGAAGGGATTGCATTGTGCACATGCCCTACAGAAAAAAACAAAACAAAACAAAAAAAAACACCTCTCTAAAAAATAAAAATGAAAACTAAAAAAAGAATGCCAGATCTCACATGGCCAGTTCAAGTCTCGATCCTGTGGTCTGAAAACAACATTGGGAATGTGTGTATACATGCCCACCCAAAATCGTGAAGGAGAATGAAATAAAAGGGACTATAACATTATCACACCTGATGGGGTATGGGAGGGTGTGTTCTCTCTCCTTCTCTCTGGAGAGGGCAAGAATCTTCTGGCAAAAAAAAAAAAAAAAAAAGAAAGAAGAAAAACAAAACAAAATAATAGTCCTTGCCCTAAAAGACATTCAGTCTAGTGAAGACAACAGGAAAAAATAGAGTCAGGAACCCTATAACCTAGACAGAGGTGAGAGAGTAAGGTGTTCAGATCCTTAAGGAACATGAGGCCAGATACAGAGGCACAATGTTATACAATGCTGAGGCCATATTGGGAAGGTGCTAGGTTTGTGTTCCCAGGTCTCCCTATAATAGAAGTGCATGGGACGGGACCAACAGTTGGCATAATGGCTATGTTGCTGGACTCCCATGTAGTCTACCACGGTTTGAGGTCTGGACCTGGTGGCTTAAATTCAAGTCGGGCGTGTGTGCATGCGTGCCCAAGATTCCTAGAGAAGAATGGAGGAGAAGGGATTATAGAGTGGCCATCCCCCCTTGGGGGTGATTTCTCACTTTCTCTCTCTCTGTCTCTGTCTTTCTGGAGCACACACGTGCCCTATAGCAAAAACCTCTCTCTCTCAAAAAAAACCAAAAAAACAAAAAACAAACAAACAAACAAAAAGAAGTGCACAAGTATGCCTGACAGTCTGGCAGAAGCTGGGGGTGGATCAAGGCATTAAGACCTGTTGAGGATGCCTGTCTAAGTCTTTCAGGATAAAATAAAAATAGGCTTTAAAAGGGGGGAGGGACATGAAAAGAATTGAGTTGGGGGAAAAATGTACATGATCTCTCCTCTTGATGCTCATTCCAAATTTACTGTTAATTTAGTATACAGAGTTCAAACATTTGTTTTAACTCCTTTAGATAAACAATGTCATATTAGATATTTAATATTTGCTGGTATATACAACCAAAATACACATGTGCAAACTGCTTTCTCCCCGGGGAAAAGAAGGTACGCTATGAACAGAACAGAAGTATAAGACCATGTCTGATGTAAGTGCTTAATAAGAAATCTGTTACTATTTAACAGTCTAGTTGCATACTACCAAGACTAATCAAGAATTATCTTTCCAACAAGATGAATTTCAAAATGACAGTGGCCTAATCCAAGATAAAACAGAGAATTGGATGGAATAAACTAGAAGTAAAAGACATAACCACAACCAATAATCTTTCCATAATGATCAGCCATCTCATCATTTCACAGATTTTTATCTTAAGAATTTCTCATCCACACTTCCCACTCACAGCTTCAGAAAAAGTTTAAAAATAAGTACAAATAGAAAGTCTGGCCATGTAACTTGAGTTTACTAAGTTTCATCCAATGTTATCTCAGAAAAACCAACAGATCTCTGTCCTACATTATAAAGCTAATAAATTCAGTTTTGTCCGATTACCATCCTGTTTACTCTTAGCCAAAAATCAGATGGCTCTAATAGGGAAAATTCTGATGACTTATCTAGGAATTTGGTTGAGCTATAAAAACAAATGGATATAAAAATCATTACTTTGGATGGATATAGAAACATTACTTTCAGAATCAAATGAGATATGAAAGGCAGAGGAACCACAGAGATTAAGGTCAACTCTATATTTTAGGGATGAAGATCTGAGGCCCACATGGCCAGTCTTCAGTAGTCCCTATTCCACTACAGCCTCTAAGACCTACAATTCTCTTAGGTATAAGTTTTACAGAAAGTTACAGAAATCAACATAAAATTGGAATCCTATAATGGATTAAGATTAGGTTTTCAAAAGATAATATATTATACTTATAAGTCGCCACAAAGTGGATAAGAGAGTAGCTGAAGTGATACAATCCTCAGTTAAAAATATAGTTAGATGTTTTATCTTTTGATCTCAAGTGTGTCCCAGTTTGCCGAACCTTATCTGACACTTGTATTTGGTCTTGTATTGTTACTTCTATAAAAGTTCTTTTCCTTCCATTAGTTGGTATCCGGTGAAGACAGTATCAATTTTATTTTGATTCCCAACAGCCCTATTAAAAACAAGGTGAATGAATTTTTAAAATTTAAAGCCGAAGGACAAGAGTTACTTGCTATTTAAGAGAATTTAAGTAAATGTGTTTACTATAATGCAATCAAGTCAAACAGGATTCGGCAAGCTTGCTATTCTAAGGTTAAAAACGACTGTGTAAGAGCACTGAAAACACACAAACTTTCCTATTAATTCTACCGCTTGAGAGAAAAAAGTGGTAATTCATATGATGCTAGCAATGGTTACATTATGAGCATTCGCTTCTATATGGGACAGGAATTAGTACAATATATCCAACTTTTACCGAATAATAGTACATATCACTTTTCCAACACAAAGAAAAGCGCTGTCCCTTACAGGTCACATACAAGAAAACAAAAACTTTATTCTCTTTGGCTCTCAATAACCTGGGGGGAAAAAAAAAAAACCAACCTCTCTCATTCTTCAGCCCTGAAAAGAACTTTCATCCCCTGAAAACAAAACGCAGCCGGTCCAGAAACCCGCGGGGGCAGAAGGACGCGAGAGGACCCTCTGACCGGGTTCGGCGTTCTCCAGGGTGACATCATTTCACCTGCGCCTCGGCAAAATGGGAGGGAGCGTACAGCAAGGCCATCTGCCAGGCGGCGTCGGGACCGCGGCTCCCGCTGACTACGACCGCACCTCCGTCGCTGGAACAAAGAGAACCGGCGGCCGGGCCAAATCTCCGCCTGGTCCCCGGGCACGGCCCCGTAGGCTCCCAAGCTCCCGCGGCCCGGCCCGCCCCCGCGCGGGGGCCAACGGCCGCAGCGAAACCCCCCGGGGGAGGGC